CGAGAGATAATCTTCGGTGATAGAAGAAGCAGAAGCGGAGGAGAAAAAGCGGTAGGGTTGAAAAAGATATACGGATCGCAGACATAAAGGGTTTTAGATTTTTATCAAATTTTATTTCGTTATTAACCTGGTTTTACTTTGTTGCCCCTATTGAAATTTGTTGTTATTATAACAACACAAGGGGTGTTGTTACCCTATCTAGTCCCCTAGCGATTGGATCTAGACAGATCAATCTAACGATTAAAAAGTGGAAAGGGATTTTTAATTAGTGACAGGGGTATTTTGAGTATTATGAAAAACTACGAAGTATACAAACTGGACTTACAAACAAGACAAACATACAAACATTACAAACTATAACGACAAAACATACAAACAAATTTATAAACAGTACAAACATACGAACTGTACAAACAATACAAACTAGACCGACAAACAATACAAACCATAAAAAGGGTAAATTGCAAGGTTGGTCACTGAAAGTGCTAAAAAATTCACGTTTGGTCACTAAAAGAATTTTAACCTCCGTTAGTGATTTGCTGACATGGCTCACAGAAGTGCCTAATCAGTAAATTTTAATATGTCACGTCACAAAATCCAACCCACCATACCATAACCCTAATCCTAACCAAACCAATGCCTCGCCCCGCCATCTCTCTCTTTTATATAGCTCTGCCTCTCTCTGTGTGAAGCTCCAATTACGCTAGCTCCTTCGGACTCTTTTCTCTGCCTCTATCTCTCTCTTGGTGAAGCTTTAAATGAGCCATGGATAGCCCACAGTTGGATATTATGTAACACCGACCGACGGCGTCACCACTTCTTCTCAACCAAATGTCCATCTTCCAACATCAAGCCGTAACTGAACGACATCGCGGTCATGACCTACTTGAAGGAAGAAAAGAATAATGATGGCAGTGAAAATTCAGGAAGGTTCTTCCTCTCCAGCTCATTACCAGAAGAGAAGGAAATGAAATTACTATGGCTGGGATTCCAATTAAAATCTCGATATAAGGAATGGCAAAGGTCCTACCTCTCTTTGTCTCTGATTGAACCCTCTCAGCAACCGTGATTCTCTTTCTCTCTTTCTTTCGCTCAGCAGAAGAGCGATTGCTTCTCTCCGTTTATACTAATTTAGAGTTTTCGGTTTGATTGTTGTGGGCTAATTTGTTAGTTGCTGCAATCCGACTGAGAGATAAGTCTGATTATTGTGATGGAGAGGATGGAGAGCAAGGAGGGTCAGCCCATTTGTCAGAGAAGAGGATGTCAATTATTGTAATGGGGAGGAGGGAGAACGGGGAGCCAAAATCGCGACGGTAAATTAGCGAAGTTCCACAAGGCGCTCAAACGATGGTAATTATCATTACAGGGGGATTCGGAGTTCAAGGGTAGGCTGCTGGTCTGGAGGGCGGATGGGATATGGAGGTCGTTGTTGGTGAGGTTGAAAGTGATGGCGGAGGAGTTGATGGTGTGGGTGGGGGATAGAGAGACGAGTCTCGGAGATGGGAATAGAGGATGAGAGGGACAAAGTTGAAGAGGCGGCCAGTGTAAAAACGGTTGGGGCGAGTGAGGGGGTTGAATTGGGTTTGGATTATGTAGTAGGGGTGATGTGGGCGGGTCAGCTCTTATGACATGGCGAGTTAAATAGGGGTTGGATTTTGTGATGCGGCATATAAAAATTTGCTGATTAGGCACTTCTGTTAGCCATGTCAGCAAATCACTAACGGTGTTAACGAAAACTAATAGAGAGTGACCAAACGTGAAACGTTAACCACTTTCAGTGATTACGAACGGAATAAAATTCTTTTAGTGAACAAACGTGACATTTTTGGCACTTTCAGTGACCAACCTTGCAATTTACCCCCATAAAAAATAAAAATAAAAACCGGGTTGACTTTGGAGTCTCCATCCCTATATATAGGGGCTCCATCTCAAAGTCAACCCGGTTGTTATTTAGACATACAAACATTACAAACATGGCGGAAAAAATGACAAACTAGACCGACAAACCATACAAAATGGAAAAATACCCGGGTTGACTTTGGAGGCTCCATCTTTGTATAGAGGAGTTCCATCCAAAAGTCAATCAGGTTATTTTTTAGACATAAAAACATTACAAACATGGTTGACAAAAATGGCAAACATGGTCCACAAAAATAACAAAGTTCACAAACATTACAAAAGAAACCGACAAACATTACAAAATAACAAAGTTTACAAACATTACAGAATAAACCGACAAACATTACAAAACATACTAACAGTACAAAATAACACTACTTGCAATACAAATCGATAAAATTGTATTGCAAATCAATGAATACAAAGTTTATAAATCATACATAAAGTATACAAACTAGACTAACTAATATTACAAATAAAAATATATACAAATTAGTCATATAAACATTACAAACACAATAGAAAAAAAATAACAAACTAGAATGATAAACAATACAAACCGAATAAATATAAACATTACAAACAAGATTTATGAACATTACAAAATAAGTTGACAAACATTACAAAACTTCAGGCCCGCAGGAAAATTTGCTGACGACGAAAAATCTCTCTCTCCCTCCCTCCCTCCCTCTCGCCTGGGAAAATTCGCTCTCTCTCCTGGTGGGAAAATTCCCAGGAAAGGAAGCAAGTTCCCACAAAAGACAATGGACGGAACTGTCAGGGAAACTTCACTGGCCGGCGCAAGCGATGGAGACGGGACTCTATGACCGGCCGGCGCAAGGGGATGGAGACGGGCCGCTGCCAGGTTTTTATTATTCATTTTATAATTTAAAAAAATAAACATGTAGTTACTAAATTGCCCTTAATTAAATTGGATTAATTGGAGCCCTTGAATTTTAATGAGGTTGGGTGGCTGAGATTCACTTAATCATGTGACTAATAAACCCTCCTTAGTCACTTGATCTTTGGTTCGGTAACCGAGTCATTGATGTTCTTAGTTAGTTAACTACTACCTCTCTCTAGCGGTCTATGTTTATATATTCGGGCTTTATGTAGCTATATATGAATTATCAGGTGAAACACGGTAACGTAAAACCAGGATTGTTAGGTGTTTGGACGGCCATTCTAATCTTCTCTACAGTGTTTTAATATATGAATTTTATTGATATGTTTGCTTGGCATGAGAGTCATATGATCACCATGTTGTGTGTATGAGATTTGTCATATTGAGATGTCTTGGCGAGTCTTTTTTTATAGTTTAATAATCCTTGTCGTGGGCTCATAATTTCCAGCCCAATGTCAGTCATGCACCGAGCCCGCTCTAATAAGGCTCGAACGCTTCGATTTTGGGCCTCCATAGAGCAACGGCCTATTAGCAAACTAGGCGGAGACGATGCTTGGAGGTAAGAATGACAATCAAACTCATGCTCACGGGTATCCGACCGTCTCCGATCCAGTCAACGCCGGAAATTCCCGTATTGACCGGGTATATGGCGAGTATGGTTAAAACCCGCAAAAAGTTTGATGGGTATGGGGCGGGTATGGTTTTAGCCTCCCGCCCCATACTCATACTTTTACCCGCCCCACCAAAAACATTTCTTCATAAATGAAAAATATGTGAAACAATTTGTAACCTATCAATAATAGTGAGTATAACTCAAGAAAAATATATAGTAGAAATGCAATTAAGTGCCACCCAAATCAAAATTTAATTTCTTTCTCTCAATTTTCCCTTCACTCTTTCACTTTTTCCCCTTGATAAAAAGATTATGTTAGTTAACTTCATTACAATAAGATTATAATAGCTTTCTAACTCGTCCCTGTTATATTTTTCATAGAAGGATTTGTCTGTCAATTCAATACGTATATGACTATTACTTAATAGATGTATCAGAGTAGAGAATAATGATTTGGATGACATTGTACTCTACTTTGATATGAATTAATGGAGACTTTAGGATAAGATGCTTTGATCATATTAAAAATTATTGTCTCTTTGTCGACTTCATGATAAAGTATGTGCATTTAATGTTATAATTGAAAATGTACAAGTAAAATATTCGGTATTATAATGTTGGGTTTGCAAAACCTTCCCCCACATAGGTATGAAGCGGGTATGAATATAAATATTTGAAAGCGGGGATGAGATGGTTTAGACTTTAGACAAACACAAACTCGTCCCAAACCCGCTCTTTCGCTAGTACATTCCTTGGCTTTTTCCCCCACAAAACATCTCTTTCCTCTCGGCCTCCAATACGAGAAATTTCATTTCGCTATTCGATGGAGCAAAGGGAAATTATAAAAAAATGCCCATATTTTGTAGGCTACAAAACTCTACGTAAATGAAAAAGAAAAAGAAGCACTAGCCTTATGGTTGTGTAGCTCAAGACATATCAAAGTAAAACGAAGAAAAGAAGAAGGAAAAAAAAAATACAACAAGAACTAACACGTTACACTTTCTTCATCTTAGATTATATTCTTCTTGTAAAAGTTTAAAGACTATAATTTTGGATCCGAACGTTTAGGCGCTCGAACCAAATCAAGTGTACAGTTATAAAAAAAACGTCGAATCTCTAAAGTGATCATTACAATTTACATATATTACAATACATACTTATCGTGTATATCTGAATCACTTATAGTATAGTACAGTATATAAATGAAGACATATATTCGAGATGGGTAATTGTTGCAATAGTGAAACCAATGAACAATAGATGAAAACTTAGTAGACAATTAATACACAAAAACATAACATTAGAGAATTAATTGGCAATAGATGTAGACCCAACAAACAATAGATGAACACATAGGATATAGAGTAAGAGAGTGGGGGTATTGACTCGGAACTTCCCCACTTACACTTGAAGAAGTGTGAGAGCCACTAATGAATAGTAACTCAAACCTAAGCTTTTATATATTAAAATTACAATACATACTTATCATGTATACTTGAATCACTTATAGTATATAGTACAGTATATAAATTAAGACATATATTTACAAGGTGGAGCTAGCTAGCAAGGGTTATATACGTTCTATTAGTCATGGTATTGACAATTATAACGTGGGCGATTATCATATCCATAATTATCATTATGATAATAATTAGGCACCCCCACATTATAACCTCCTCCATAATTAATCCCAGCGCTGTTGCCATTCCCATTGTTCGTCCAACCAATTGCCTGCAACTGCTGCCCTTGTCCATGAACAAAATCCGTCCCTAAAACTCCATTTTGGTCGCCGTCAAAATCAGCGACGCTTACAACGTCCGTAAATCCCACGCTCTTCCGCAACGAGCTCGCCAGCGCTACGGCGTCGATCCGTTCCCCGGTCACTACGATCTCGTTCCTCTCTTCTCCAACTAAGGCCACCGACTCCACCCCTGCGTGCGTATTAATCAAGTTTAATGAGCTAGCTATAATAATCACAATTAAGTAATCACGAACGACGGATTGATCTAGCTAGCTAGCTAATCACACGGGTTTATGAATTAATTACCAGCCACGGCAACTGCGATCTTCAAGGCTTTTGTGCGGCACTTCTGGCTGTTCATGTTGGAAACCCTCAACACAACCCTTCTCTGCAAAAGCAATGGTAAATCAAGGCATATTTTGTCAGCTATCCGTATGAACATAGAGACAGAAAACCCGGAAAATAGAGCGTAAAAACTATACAAGTAAATGAGTGTTTAATCGCGACGAACAGATAAAATGGTCGCTAAAACTCGAATTGCATACCTTCATCATGATGATCGATAATGTGTATGTGTGTTTGATTGCAATTGTGTTGTAACCAAAGAATGATCGATCGAATTGATGATTATATTTCTGTTGGGTATTTTTATACAGTGGCCAAAGGCAATATATATATATAGTGTTCATTAGAAGGTTAGACGTGCGGGGATATGCATCGATATGAAAGTTCCCATAGGGGTTCATAGAATATACCGCACAACTACTCGTCGATCTCATGTGATGATCTAGAGTCGCTTCTTCTTATAATATTATTTTGTACAAGTATAACCAGACCCAACGGTTAATTGACTAATTACACGAGTTTTATATAAACCTATCTACTCCCTTTGGCCGGCAATATATCGGCGAGGCCACGTAGGCAAGTTTATGCTTCCATTTGTCATCCAGAGATCGATTATCATTATAAAAATTGCTCAAAATAGCGGTGTTCTGATTGTTTCTTTATGTTAATCATCACCAGTGTTCTGATTTGGATTTTCATGTTCTGAAGTTAAAAAGCACATGTGATTTGTAATAAATTACTGGATTTTTAATGTCAAAATTTTGGATAAATTGCTCGAAATTTTCAAATGCATAAAAGTTTTTATAGTGAGAATAAACTCAAATAGCTATAATTAAAGCAATCGAAACATAAATTGAGTTCCAATCTTCTCACAGGTTAATCATTGCCTTCTCGTCCTAAGGTTCGATCTCTCTCCTCTCATTTTTCTACTCGGATTTCATTTATTCCTTTAGAAGAATCATTAATCAAATGATCAGCACTTTTACTATGCTATAAAGCATTGGTGCTTTAATGTACAACTTGGAGTTGTACCATAACGTTAAATGTATAAGTTCAAGTTGTACCGTAAAGAAATTTGTACCCTTAATTATGTTATGGTACAACTTTACCACTTAATATTGTACCATCACATAAAGATAATAGTTCAAGTCGTACCATAAAAGAATTTGTGCAAAAGAGTATAAGTACAATCTGAAGTTGTACCATAACGTTAAAGGTACAACTTCAAGTTGTACCATAAAGGCAAAACCTATAGCACCAATGCTATATAGCGTTGTAAAATTTCTATAATCAAATACGCAAAAATAATTTCCATGAATCCTATTCGGACTAATAAAATAACTCAAAATAATAGAGAAATACAAATAGAGGAATAAATTTACGCAAACTCAAACTCTTGAATATTAGTCCCGTCGGTTCGTAGATGTGACATGATTGTTCGTTATGCACTCGTATATATGGAAAGATAATTATATCTTACGTTAAAAAATGAAGTTATTTTGATGGCTGGTAATTATGACGATTTTTCATGTTTGAGCTCAGAATACAGTGAATTAATGAGATATATATATTAAGGATTCTCATATTGCCACTCAGAGCTCAGTTGTGATTTTCATGTATGTTTTTGTGCTCTTCCCACTCAGATTAGTCTTTCACCGGCTATAAGTGCGACGTATACCAACTAAGAACTCTACAGTGGTTAAGGTAGTATCCGATAAAATAGCTACTTGTGAAACTAGCAAGAAGGAACAGGGAAAGAGGGTGCCCATCTTCCTAGTCTCTAACAAGGAGCAATCGTGTTATACTAAGTTAGGAACAGGTTTGGAAGTTGGAGGACAACTTCTCTGCCGCAGAGTCGACCTACATTTTTGACGCCGACAACTGATTATTGATTGAATTTTGGTGGGTCTTTTGCTTGTATATATCTTTATATATGTCGTTGATGTTCTTGATTAGTTTACTACAATGTGGCTCTCTTTGGCGGTCTATGTTTATAAATATGGCTTATTGTTGCTATATATTGTTTATTATCAAGTGAAACACGGTAACGTAAAACCAGGATTATTAGGTGTTTCGACCGCCATATTATATGACATGTCTTGGTCTTGGTGGGTATTTTTTTTATAGGGTTATAGGTATAATATGCCCCTCTACTATGACGTTTTATCAAACATGTCTCTCTACTATTTTTTACATCAAATATGCTCCTGTACTTTGAAAAAATTATCAAACATGTCCTTATGTTAAAATTTTCATTGAAAAAATCGTCAATCATGGTTGAACCGAGATTTAGACGGCCCGACATCGGCAAATGGGAGGAAAAATGTCAGTTTTGTCCTCTGCTTTATTTCCCTGGGTCTTTTCCAAGTGAAATTATTTGAATGATTTGATTATACAAAAGAACCAAAAAAAATCTAAAGTGAATTTATTAGTGATATTTTAGTCATTTGTATTGCCCAAACTAAAGTTCGGCCTTGGTTAACGGTTTTTGGATGAAATTTTTAACAAAAGGGCATGTTTGATCATTTTTACAAAGTACAGGGGCATGTTATATGTAAAAAATAGTAAATGGCATGTTTGATAAGAGCATCTCCAATGGTGCAAATGGAGGGAGTTGCAAGCTGAGGTGGCAGCCATGTGCAATTGAAAAAGTGGATGGCATTGATGCAAGACCACTTTCAATGGATGAAAATTTGCACACCATGAAAATCTGACATGCAATTGCAAGTGGGTCCTTTGTTTGTTTTTGTTTTTCTTTCTGCTTTTCCCAACCATTTGTGTGGTATTAAAATATAATTGGGACCCAGAAGTGCAATTGCATTGGAATGGCATTGATGTAGCTAGTATGAAATTGATGAGTTAAGTAATTGCTAGAGTTGCTTAGGTGGCAGTAGGGACCACACTTGAAAGTGAAGAAGGATTGCATTGTTGGAGATGCTCTAAAACGTCATAGTAAATGGGTATATTATACCTATAACCTTTTTTATAGGTTAACGGTGGTTTTCGTGGATACTGAACGAGCCATTTAATAAACCTTTCTCGTGGCTGATATACTTTCTTTCCAGCCCAATTCGTAAGTCATGCACCCAGCCCGCAATAATAAGGCTCGAAATGCTTCGCGTTTGGGCCTCAAAGGAGCAACGGCCCATTATCACACTAGGCTGCTTGGCCTGCTTCTAATTCGTTCCTCTCTGCCCCCAACACAAGAAATTCCATTCCGCCATTCGATGGAGCAAAGGGAAATCAAAAATCCATTTCCAAATTTGGCAGCCTACAAATCTATGAGTAAATAAAATAAAAAAAGAACCACTAGCCTTATGGTTGTGGAACTCAGGACGTATATCAAAATAAAACGAGATAAAAGAAGACAAAAACAAGAACGAACACTTTATACAGTTTCCCCCCATCACAGATAATGTTTCTCCGTGCAAAAGCTTAAAGACTCGAATTTTGGATCCGAACGTTCAGGCGCCTGAGCCAGATGGAGTGTACCGTCATGTGAAAAACGTCGAACCTCTTCGGCGGTCCATTCGCCACGAAATGCCTCTGCACCTGCTTCACCCTCCTGTGCATCTTCAGGTACCGCTCCTCGGGAATTTCCGTCAGTATTTCTTTTATCCTCCCGATATCCTCCACTCCGATCGTGACCGAAAACGCGCTCCAGTTCAGCACGTCGCTGAACGGCGGCACGTAGCTGTCGGAGATGAGCACGGGCACGCACTCCGCGTAGATCGCCTCGACGACCCTCGGGCTCGCAACCTCGTACCCGCTGGGGCACAGGCAGAACCTGCTGTTGCGGAGCTTGGACTCGTAGGAGACGCCCGGAGGGAGGTTGTCGAAGACTTGGACGTCTTGGTCACGGTCTTTCCATGTGTCGAGGACGAGTTTCCTTATGTGGCCGTGGAGGCGGCCGGCGAAGAAGGCGAGGATGGAGCGGCTGGAAGGTGACGGGCCGCCGATCAGGCCGGTGATCTCTCCCGTCCGGAGGTGGATTTCGGGGAAGGAAGCGTCTTTCGCCGGATTAAAACCTTCCGACGTGTTGGCGTTGCAGAGGACCCTGATGGAGTTGTTGTAGAGGTGTGGGTGGTAAGTCGTCGCTCGAGGACCCTGCCAAATAACATGTGTAAATGTAATTAATTAAACTACCCAAATTTAACCTATGTTGTACGGAGAGGTTACAAGAGGTTAACATTTCGTACGTAAAATTAAATGACCTTTTACAACTGTTACGTTATATGTGCATATATCTTGTAACTATTACATAATGCGACCTTGAAATCTTTTATAGCAAGTAAAAATATTTAAATGGCCTTACTAATTCAACGCATAGTTAGTAAATACCCCGCTTTATATATATGGCCGTACGTATTTTATTTGTTTAAAACTTATGTATTCGTATTATTGTCAAGCGATTTCATTTCTTTTCGTTCATTTGATAACTCCCGTACTAAACACGTATAAAACTCGTATATCATATTTAATAAATTAAATTACTAATTTCACTAATATTTATATATTAATTTATGTTTTCTCGTGGAATAAAATAATCATCGGTAACACAATAATCCTTGTGCAAATCAACAAGTAGAGCCCCAATTAAAATAATTAATTTTATAAATTTTATGACTTGAGCATATTGTATTTTACTAACTTTGCTTCAAAGCAATGTAAAAGATTCATATATTTTAACGGTCTAAATTCATACAAATTAACTAAGTTGAAAGTATTCTCCAAATTACGGTACTATGGAAATGCAACATAAAAAAAATTGTTAATGTTCATACCCAATCATGGCAAGAGAGCATGAAGTGATCGGCGCCGAGGCTCCGGTTCCAAAACGGGTACTTCCCCGAAACGACGCCGATATAGTCCAAAACGGCACGTCCAATCCCGTCGGTCTCGCGAGCACCAGGCTCGTACAAATACTGAACCATCCTCACCACACTAAACGGCAAGAAATACACCATCGCCTCGTCGGGATCCTCCGTCACGTACATATTCTTCCCTTTCCCCTTCTCCATCTCGTGAATAAACCTCCCCTCCGACGAGTAGATACTCCGGCAAGGTCCGTCGTGGAAAATCGGCGGCTCCCCTTCCTTGTACACGTACACCCTGAACAGCCTCTCCATCTCCGTGTAGCTCGCCCGGAAGGCGTCGGCGTTGCGGTAGATGGCGCCACGTGGAGTGTATTCGTCGACGTAGGAAGAGGAGGTTAGGTTGGTGTCAGGTGGGGTTCCCCGCCGGCGGAGGCGGGAGGCTTCCCGGATAGCGGTTCTGGCTCGGGCGAGGTTCGATTCCATTCGATCCAGTTTGGTCGCGGTTGGTTTGACTAAAGGTACTGGGGTTTTGTTGACGAAAAAAGAGCTTTCTTTGACTGGGAGGTCTTGTTGTTGTTGTTCTGCCGCGGCGACTGCGGTTAGCAGAGCTGCGGCGGAACGGTGGGGAGGGTGTAGTCGGAAGAGGGAGAGTTTCCAGGTGGAGGGGGAGGCGGCGACGGAGGAGGAGAGAGCGGAGCAGGAGGAGGAGGAGAGGCATGGTGGAGAGAGTGTGAAGAAAGCAATGGTTGCAACAAGGAGTAGGGGAATTGTGACACTCAACCCAATTGGGAGCTTCATTTTAGTGTGAGAGTTAAATTGTTTCTATTGTGAAGTGCTAGCTAAGGATAGAGTATTTATATTAGGGCATTGGTTGCATGAAAGGGTATTACTTTTTAGGGTGACTAACAAGTTGGTTACAAAGTTCTCTTTTATGTCATGTAAAAAAAAAACTAACAAGTTGGTTACTCAATTTTGTTCTTCATAGGAAGGGTTGAGTAGTTTGCTGCTTTCTACTCTTATCTATTTTCGCTAGATCATTTTTGGTCTTACATTGTTGATTCATTCTCACGGCAAGTAACAAAAAAATGTTAATTTATTTTTTTCAAATGCTCATATAAACCTCTTAAGCAAAAAAAAAAAAATCTAACTACAATGAACAATCATTCATTGAACGATATATACGCTGCTACAGACGGTAGTTGAAATTCAAAGTTGAGTATCATGTTATCCCACATTTCTAATTAATTTTTAATCATAATGGGTAAGGGCCAAGGGGTCGTTTGGTTTATTTATGATAATATAACTGCATGCAAGTGTTACGATAACTATCACAAAAATCAAACAAGATAAACTAGTAAAATACACCAATTTTTCTAACCACATGTGTAGTACGTATTATACATATTGATCATAATATAATGATTTAATTGTCACCAAAACCAAATAATCCAGAGAATTTCAAGAAAGAGCGAATTGATGTTAGTAAATAGTAACACCAGATTAATACATTTCTATGAGGTGGGGAAGTTGAGGGGATAATTCATTGCTTGGTTTTCTGGTTATTCCTTTCTGTGGATTGAAGGAGGCTGCAGGGACAGAATCCTATATGGATTGGGATGGAAGGATTTGACATGGCTGGCATGCAAGTGCTTGCTTTAAGTTCAAGTCTTCTGTTGCTACTTTTCACAATTTTTTTTACTTATTATAAAGTGATTGATCCTTGTGTAGAAAAGATACCATATGCACCATGGCTCCCTATAGCTGTCCTCGATCTCCTCACGACTTGCTACTGGTTAATCAAAAGCATGCCTTTTTCCTCGTTCTAGCTATTAATTTCAGTGGTACGGTATCTTTCAGCTGGTATTTAATCAGTAATCCTGACCCTAGCTAGGAATAGGATGAACTGTTTAGTTAGTGTCTTACTAATTAAGAGATCAATAAGTTTAATGCTTAATCATTAACACCACACATTGGAAAGAGTTGGAGTTTGTGTGGGTAGCCCTGACCTAATAAGGTTTAGGCTAATCCTATGAACTAGGAAGAGATTAAGGCACTCCCTTTCATTGTATAAGGTTCGTTACATTTTATGTGTTGGTTCTGAGGAAGACGAGTGAGCGAGGATAATTGGTTCAAATAATTTCTTTAGTGTTAGGTTGTAACATTAATTGCATTAGGATTACGAAAATCCGAACTAAACTGATCAATTCATACATGAATCGTTTTGGAGCTCGAAAATTTCAGATTGGGGCGTAAACACTCCATCCATTGATCTTTTGGTTCGTGGTGTGATTCTATAAGACTCTTTACGTACCTCTGAACCTCAGAAAGATAGATTGACAAACATAAACATTTCAACAAATGAGAAAGACGTTATTTCTTCTTTACACTCGTTTTCTCCTTCTCTTCCTTCTTTCTTAAAAAAAGGCTCTTCTATCTATTATTCTATTATTGATAACTTCATTGAGAGATTTTCCGAACATTGATTTTTGAGAAAAAAAATGTAGATGAATCAACAAATGATTAACTCATTGATCATAGTCAAACCGATTAACACAGATCTTTCTCCTATTTTTTTTTAAAGCACTATTATACTCTCCTCAAAAGTCAAAACCGTAAAGAAGCGGCAAACAAACACGGCAAATAACAACTTTTACAACACAACTTGTTTTTCTTTAGTATACCATGTTGTAGATATAAAATAAGAAATGGAATTGAGACAGACCCTTCAGTCAAACAAAATCAACGCCATGACAGCATCTTTAATTTCAATGCCTTTTTCCCCCCGCCATTAGCAAAAGTCTTCATGAATCCATTCAGCTGAAGAAACGGCACCAGTCCAGCTGAAAGGATACTGGAATTACGTGCAGTCAGATCGATCCTTCTTTTCTGTTTTGTCTTTCCCCAAATGTACTCGACGTTCGTTCCCACATTCAGCACAGAGGCCGGGGAACGATCTTTCTGTATTTGCGTTTCGCACAGAAACTTTTGCCGTTTAGAGGCAAGCTAAGCTTCTCGAGACCCTGAAACCAATAAATATCCAGCGCCTAGGTTAACCTCGGAAATTGAACCTGTGTCGGCCGGGATTCCGTCAAAGGCACGTGTTACTCCCGCCGGCGACCTCTCTCATCAGGGTTAATTTATTAACTCAATTTGCATGCATTTGCCAGCAGATAGCCAGCACTCGTCAATTAATGGTTTCCTCGGAATGATCAAAACAATTCAATTCCCCACGTTTTTTCCCTCAGAAACCTATAGTAGTCTCTCCTCCCGCCATTTCCTTCTTTGGAGGCAGTGGCGGATCTAGGATTGTTGAAGAGGGATGTCGTCTAATAAACGAGTATCGATTATAATTATTAAAGCGGTGTCGAAAATCTCGTAATGAAATTTTTTGTACCAAAAAAATATAGGTTATTCACAAAGGGCGAAGGGGGTGTCAGACGACACCCCTACGCAACATAGGTCCGCCCCTGTTTGGAGGTATCTCCTGCCATGTCTCTGGCTAGTCGCTAGAAGTTTGAGGTTTTAATGGTAAATGAATAATATTACGAGGAACTGGTTTTTTATTATCTGATATCAGGGTTGAGGTGTGTTGTGTTTGAATACTAACGAACCGTATTATGAAGTGAATGTTTGCGGATCAATTTAAACTTTATTTTATGAGTTAGTTACGTCTTAATACTCTATCGATCATTAATTGAATTGTTGAGACCGTGCGGATCATTATAACGTAATGATTTAGTATTGACAGACAATATTGTTTCATACTCCAACCCAATGTCGTTCCATATGCATTATAATATTTTGACAGACAAGTTCACTCGTGCAATGGACGCGAATGGATCAATTTGCAAGTTGTTTTGTTCACCCCTCTACCTTCAGAAAGCTAATAGTCATAGCATGAGTCGCGGAACGGGCTCTGTAGAGCATCTGTTTGAGTCCATGATTAGCCACGAATATTAATGGGCCCAATTTAGGCTCATTAGTATAACCCGTATGAGTAAGAGCCCAAGATCTGTTAGATTGGACCGACTACCATCTACTGCTCGGTTGACCAGGTGTTTTTGTTTTTGACAAAACCTGTTGACCACGTGTGATACACCAATTAAGCTATATAAAAAGTTGTTGACTCAATCCAGAGCAAATCTTAGGTTTGACTTGAAGTGCTGACCCTACTCCAAGGAAATAAATAATGTGATGGCTTTCTATTTGTAAGTTTCATCCTGTAATAAGCTGTTCAACTACACTCTGTCAGTAAGATATAATTTGCATCTTGTTTCCCTCTCTTCAATTGGGGATTCTGAAATTCAGCCTTCTCAACCAGACAGAATGCAGAATCATATGAAACACATCAAATCTCCTGGGAGGATCATTCACCTCAAAATGCCTCCTCACCTGCTCCACATTCCTCACCAATTCCAAATACCTCCCTTCAGGAATCCCCATCAGGATCTCCTTCAGGTCCTCGATCCCCTCCACCGGAACCTGAACCGAAAAAGCATCCCAATTCAGAACATCGCTGAAAGGAGCCACGTAGTTCCTCGAAATCAAGACAGGAACACAACCAGCGTAGATCGCCTCAGGAATCCTGGGGCTCGCAACTTCGTGCCCGCTCGGACACAAACAGAACCTGCTCTTCCTCATCATCTCCTGGTACGAAACACCCTCAGGAAGCGTCTCGTACACCAGGACGTCGGGATCCTTCTCCTTCCAGTGCCTGAAGAGCAGCGGCCTGATCTTGCCGTGCATCCTGCCAGCGAAGAACGCGAGATTCGTCCGATTCTCAGATCCTGATGACGTGACAGTACTGTCAGGAATTTCCCCTGACACCAGGTTGATTTCTGGAAAGGAGGCGTCTTTTTTCGGGTTGAAGTGTTCCGACGTGTTGGCGTTGCAGAGTACCCTGATGGAGTTGTAGTACAGTTTCTTTTCATACCAAGTCGCTCGTGGCCCCTGAAAAAATTGAACACAGAGTACTGATTCAGAATTTTTTTTTTTTTTGCTGAAAGTACAAAATCCGTTAATGAACAGTGATCGATGTGTCGTTACATTACCCAATCGTGGCAGGAGATCATGAAATGGTCCGCCCCGAGGCTCCTGTTCCAAAAGGGGTATTTATCGGATATGATGCGGACGTAGTCGACTACGGTGCGCTCGAGGACGGCTTTGTCTCGAACGACTGGATGGAAGAGGTGCTCGATGATCTTGACGACGCTGAAGGGGAGGAAGTATACGTGGGCTTCGTCGGGATCGTTGGTTGTGAAATTGGTGTGATCGGTTTCGATGAAGCTGAGGAACAGGCCTTCCATGGAGTAGATGCTCTTGCAGGGCCCGTCGTGGAACAATGGCGGGTCGCCTTCTTGGTAGACGAAGATCTTGAACATTTTCTCCATTAGTAAGTAGCTTCTGAATGATCATGGCCGGCCACAAGACAAAGACAGACAGATCAGAAGAAAATAAGGAGAAAATAAAAATGAAGTAACAAATGACAAGGTGAAAACGAAATTCTCAGGTGATTAGGGTATTTATTAGTCGATCACAAATCCTATACGACCCTCAATGTACAAGTGCAAAAAAAAAAAAAAAAAACAATACAATACAATGAGCACTTATATGTATCACTAAATTAATAGAATATCTTACTAACACAAGGTACGTATTTATAAACAAGCATGTGTTTCCATATTGTGTAAGCAAATGTACAACAATATATTTTGTCTGCCTAGTGAAATTAGAGATATATCTCGAAATGAAAACTACTATTTCAGTGCTTGTAGTTGCAACTAGTGAAACTAGAGATTAGCTTCAAACTTTATGAGGGATTAAGGTGTTATGAGATTGAGATGCTTAGTGGTCACTACTCACTATAACTTTTAGTACAAATTTGACTTAAAATGAATTGGCACACGGATAGCAAACACTTGTCTTTACTAATTTCGGGGTATAATGTTCAAATATCAAATACTAACATTTGAGGGTCAAAACATTTTTGCTAAATTTAAAGAATGACCGTAACACTTGTGTCGACGATTTGGTGTTTGTTATATAGCGAACAAAATATCTTTGACTACCAGATAAAATTGAGAACTGTTCATTAAAAAAAACTTTATATCAAATCAACTTTTTTATGTCAAATCAAGAATCAATTCATACGTACGATGTTGATAATCTCAAAGTTATCAAATTCAAACCTCATTTGATCATATCATAAATCAATGCTTGGTGTTGATAGTTGTGATCACACATGCAAGTCCAGCAACGATCCTTTCTCTATAAGCAACTGCCTCGTAATTAAGTTCAGAATGTACAATTGACTTGTATAGAAACGAGAATGCATCAAAGTGGGGGAAATTAAATTATAGCTACCGACATAGCCGACAGGAGGAAAGGCCTCTCCATTCTATTAATTGGTTTCTTCGATTTACAGCTTAAAGAAGATAATAATAATAAAATAAAAAATACTACCAGGATCTGTTGATGCCTAAGAACTCAAATTATCCTATTGTATTGGGTTAGGGTTTGTTTGAATGAAATTTGTAGGTGAGTTCTTTTGGTCTAAATAACTTGTTTGAAAATATTTTACTGGAACAAATTATTTGGGTTGTGAATTATTTATACTCAAAATCAATTATTTAAAATAACTCCTACATAGTCTTATTTGGAAATAATGCGTTTTACACATAATTAGTTGTTGGCAAATATCAGATGTAAAACAGCATAGGTAAATTATTCAACCAAACATAATATTTTAAGTACCATATATAAAACAATGAAATACCACATAGACAATTAATAAATTATTTAACTCTACAAAATACTAACTAATTAATCCAATCCTCAATTCTCTTCTCGGAACACCCAATGCCGCATTAATGGAGCTTTCACATTTTCTTGTTTTGTTGATCTCTAGGCTAATTAAAGATAATAAGTTACGTACAGTTTCAATTTGCTCTTCTTCTTTTTTTTTTTTTTTTTTGTTTGCTTTCAGACAAGGAAAGAGTAGATTATTCTAATTACTGGAGGCAGAGGTTTGGACTATTACCGGTGAAACGCACAAGGGTTCCTGTAAACGTCGCCGTATGGAACATAGTCCGAGTCTTGATGTAGAGCTGACGATGCAGTGCAGTTCAACGTGGCAGCAGCTTCTTTGATCAGAGCTCTGGCCATGGCTAGACTCGCTTCTACTTTCTCCAGCTTCGGATCCCTTGTCACTGCACAAGCTTTCTCCAAAAGACTGCTACTATGGCGGCTCCCCTGAAGAATTCATTTGAGTCCAAGGGACAAAACAAAAAAAAATGAAACCAAAGATTGATCACCTTCAAGAAGCTACACCGAGAAAGGGGGTTGATTTCTTGATCATGCAAAACAGAAAGGGAGGGAGAAGGGGAAATTAAAGGATCAGTGTGATGAAAAAACCCCTTGCTTACGTTTGGGAGATTGGGTGCAGCTTGGTTGCTGCTCCATGTTAGAAAGCTTGAAGGTGGAGAGAAGCCATGGATGATGCTGTTGTTGTTGTTGTTGTTGAAGAAGAAGACGGAAGCGATGAGGAAAGCCGCTGTGAGAATTACGAGTGTAGTAGTTGAGGATGATGATGATTGTTGATGCCTTGTTCCAGCTTCTTCAACCTCCATTTCTTAATTTTGAGCATTCGATGGAATTCCTTTAGGCCCAACTTTGAAGGAAGGAAAGAAGGAAGAGAGAAGAAGAAGGAAGGTTGTTTATGATTGTGGGATGAGATTTGAGTTTCAGGTAGAGAAGCACTTTTTGGAAGCTTCCGATTTTGTAAGGACACGTGTCGAACTAATTAATGACAAATGTGGTTTACCTTCATTGACTGTATGTACTGAATTGGGTCCATTATACCAAAATGATTTCGTAACTGATACTGTCATAACATTGGATGGATGGATGCTTGGACTAAATCACTAAATATTAAATACATTACAACCTAATTTTAAGAGGGTGGTTTGGATGTGGAAATGTTATGCCGTAATTGGACCCGATTACCGCATAATGCAGTAATTGGGTTAAAAACCCATGTTTGGAAGAGCAAAAATGGTATGGAAATTGGACCATGGAAATTGGCTTCAATTACCACATTCATGGTAATTGAGAATACTACATCTCCCCCCTAGTAATTTCACATTACCACGTTTTCTTACTTCTTTTTCCAAATTCCACACCATCTATTTCCACAAAACTAAACCCTATCCAAACGTGAATTTTTTTTCAATTTCCACAAGTCAATTCCTTGGTTTTGTACAACATGGAAATTCAAACAAATTTCAACGTTTTAAAATTTCCACATCCAAACGACCCCTTAGTGTTTGTGAGATCGTACCATAGATCGATGTGATTCATATAAGCGTATGTTTTACGGGTTAAGCAAACACAACGATACGTAACTTCTGGTTCATTGTGATTTTACTGCATTAGTATTTGAAATTTGGGAAAAAAAGAAGGTTTTGAAGACATTAATTATAAGCAGTGTGGGTGTCGGCCTGTGGAATCTGTCAACACACATGAAATATCAATGAATTCTTGGGATGGACGGTTACGGTTTGATGCAAACGAGGAGCTTTGTCAGAAATGGAAGTCCCCTCCCTCCCTCCCTCTCTTTCTCCATCGTTATGAACCAAGACTACTTGGGTTACATCTGCTAATCCAATAGACTCACTAGTCACACTACTATACAAATTTATTTTACTTCTCTCTCGGCCATTTGTAAAAATTAAGGATTTAAAAATTATACTGCGGTTTGACCAAAAAAATATCTTATTGGGTAAATTGCAAGATTGGTCACTGAAAGTGGGGACAGGTCACGGTGATTACTACTTTGTAGTAATCACCGTGGTTACTAAGGGTAAATTGGGTATGGAAAAATAAATTATATTAATTAATTTTTTAATAAATTACATTTAAGGTAGTTACAAAAATCCATTAGTTAAAATTCTCTCTTTCTCTCACTTCCGTAATCTCCAACGAGATTTCCTTTCCATATTTTTCTCAATCTTTCTGCAAAAAAAAAAAAAACGAAATTAGTACCAATCCATTAGACAAACACTACCACTTTGAAAAATATCAATACCATTGCAGAAATAAATCTATACCATTACACGAAAACTACCATTGCATAAATAAATTTATACCATTACACGAAAACTACCATTCAAGAAATAAAAACACTACCATTTCACAAAACATCAATACCATTCAAGAAAGAAAACCACTACCATTTCACAAAACATCAATACCATTGCAGATTTAATCACTACCAATGCGACAAAATCAATACCATTGCGACAATAATAATACCATTGCAACAAAATCAATACCAATATGATAAAAATAATACCATTACGACAAAAATAATACCAATGCGACAAAATCAATACCAAAACAAAGCAATACAAAAAAAATATACCAAGGGTTTGCCATGGACGAATTCGATGGAGCGGGATGGGAGGGAGATGGAATCGGCTTGAGAGATGAGGAACTCGGCGGCGAGGTGGTAGTCGGGAGTGGGCTGGGCGGTGTTGATCTGGAGGTATTGCTGGAACCGGGAGATGACTTGGAAGGCTGGCCTAGGCTGGCATCACCATCTAACACCTCCACCGCCATCTGTGAGAGAGAGAGAGAGAGAGAGAGACGGCAAAGGTGGGCGAGGGTCGCCGGAGGGTGGGCGGCTGCCGGCAGTGGGAGGGCCGCAGGATAGGTGTTGACGGCGATATAAAATAGGGTTGGAGTAGGTTTAGGTATAATATATAGAATTAATTTTTTAAAGGATAGAAATCAGGTGTGATATTTTTTTTATTCTCAAAATTACCCTTAATCTAATCTTCACCGTCAATTTAAAATTAGAGTAAAATATAGATAATTAAGGGTCTAGATTTAAGTAGCCACGGTGATTACTCAATTTTGAGTAATCATCCTAACGCGTTCCCTGAAAGTGCTAAAGTATTCACGTTTGGTCACTTAAAGAATTTTATTCCATTCATAGTCATTAGAAGTGCTTAACGTTTCACGATTGGTCACTCTCCGTTAGTCTTCGTTCATTGCCGTTAATAGAGTCTGTTATCTGCTGATGTGGCTAACAGAAAAGTCTAGTCACCCAATTCTAACCCACAAAAATCCAAAACCCGACCAGCCACGTCATAAAACCCAACCCAATCTGACCCAACCTAACCTAACCTAAACTCTTCTTCCACTATTGACACGTCTCTTCATCTTCTTCCACTGGCTTTCTATAGCCATTGCGGATTCAGACAGTTTGCCTCTACAGAGCCGACACGATCATCATCAAATCCCTAGCCAATATGGGAATCAGAATCATACTCTCCCACCATGCTCTCTATCTAACCCATCCTTCCCGAATTCAGACGGTCCGCCTCTACGGAGACCCGACGACGGTTGCTTAGATTGTGGAGTAGGACCTCGCCGTGGGGAGCTTCTGTGCTTAGGATTTACAATGAGTTTGCGGAGGGAGCTCGATGGAGAGGTCGAAGTCGACGAGCTCTCAAAGTCATCCTCCTTGATTTAGTCAGAAGTAGAGCCTCGCTGCCACCGAGGAGATTGAATCTTGGTTGTTCAATCTGCAACCAAAGAAAAAGCTCATCGAGGTGGGACTCTGAGGAAGCGAATTTGCAGCTGAGGATCGCAACGGAGAAGTTTGAATCCTCAATCGCACTCTGGATTGCCTCCCTCAAGTTCACCACTTTGGGCAGATTTCCGCCGCCCTTCACCAACGTTTGTCCCGATTCCGGTAAGTCCGCGCACAGGTGATCCGAGAACCCGTTCCTCAGATCCCTGCAATAGCAAATGAACACGCCAGTGGCTGCCATTTTCGGTGGGATTGAGAATGAGATTGCTCCTCAACTCCCTAGTATCGAAAGAAATTAGCAGAGAAGGGAAGAGGAAGAATTCGGGGAGGAGGAAGATGGATTGAAATAGATGGTCTCTCAATTTTAATTGGATATGTTTGTTCTTAGGTCTGACCGTGTTATGGGTTGGGTTAGGCTAATCTGACATAGCGGGTCGGGTCTCTTTTTTTTTTGTTAAATTAAGCTGATTGGGCAAAAGTGTTAGCCACGTCAGCAGATAACGGACTTTGTTAACGGAGAGACAGATGGAGATTAACGGAGAGTTACAAATCGTGAAATGTTAAGCACTTTCAGTGACCATGAATGGAATAAAATTCTTTTAGTGACCAAACGTGAATATTTTGACACTTTCAGTGACCAACCTTGCAATTTACCCATATCTTATCAATGCTAAATTGGTAGGCAATTAGGCGTTATTTAACCGTACGAAATGGTTTATTCGAAATATCTTAGTGTTGATTAAATCACGATACTAATTTAAAATGTCTTTTTGTTGATTTTTTTCCGCTACAACTTCCGATATGATTTACAATCTTTGCTAAAGGCTAAAAAGTAGTAGCCTTTGTTAAAAATTCACTCTTTTAGACTACTTCATAACTAGATTGTGTAAGATATCGATTTTCCAAGACATCGCATATCATTTTCCCCCTAAACTACACTTAAGACATACAGTAGTATATCAAACGGCATTCGACCCAAACAATTTATTACAAAGTATCAATATTTTTTGGCCTACTATCAAAGTATCGACCAATATTGTAGTGGCATTGACTAGCCTCTTGAGGTAAAAGTGACTACACAAATCAATAAACCATTAAACCCCCAATTATCATAGTTTGACCGAATCGCGAAGTCTGATCAGTAAATGTTACAACCGGCCATCAATCTGGTTTGATCAGGTTATTCAACTATCAGTGATGAGTCGAACAACTTGTTCATGAGTTGGTTCTAGGTAAACATGTCATTTGTTAAAAAAAATATATATATATAGTTCAGGCTAGCGTACGCCTGGGCGTAGGTTAGATTACCGTACGCCCGTTTAAGTTTTGTTATTTAGACCATGAATTAACAGGAGTTTTGGGCATGATACTATACCCTAACCACTAATAGATAAACCCCAGTCCCTAATTTTGTAACCCAAATCATGATATTCGTTTAATCTTAAAAAGTAGATCAACAATAATTTCAACGAATCAGAAACGTTGATTTTCATTTCAAGATTAAACGAATATTATGCTTTGGGTTAGTGAATTGTGGACTGGGGTTCACCCATTAGGGGTTAGGGTATAGTATCATGCCCCAAACTCTGGTTAATTCATTGTCTAAATAGCAAAATTCAACGGGCGTACGGTAGGCTAGGATACGCTCGGGCGTACGCTAGCCTTTGCTATATATATATATATATATATATATGGTGGCTACTTCGGCGCACTCACTTTTTTGGGTGCACTCAGTGCACCCACTTTAAAAGTGTCCATATTACATCAAATTTTGAACTTTAATTAGTACTCTCAGTCTAATATGATGATATGACATAGAATCATAACAAATCAATCAATTACCCTAACCCCTTAACCTTCAATTTTGAATCCTAATCCAAAATCCCAAATTGTAAACCTAAACCCTAACCCTAAATCCCTAAATCCTAAATCCTTCAAATTAAAGTAAATTTTGAATGAATTTTTTTCAAATTCATGTGCTTCTTGTTCATAATATCATAAGCAACAATTGATACCCTTTTGACATGAATCGCATGATTAGAATGGCAATTATGAGGCGGGTGCATTGAGTGCACCCAAAAAAATGGGTGCACCGAATACGCCACCATATATATATATATATATATATATATATATATATATATATATATATATATTGTGAATGTTAACAATTGCAATTACCAAGCAATACACAATTAAAATCCATTTAACAATCCATTCGGAGAATTGGAATGTTTAGTACGTTTGAAATTTAAGACTTTAGACTCTAACTCTACACACGACCACATAAACTAAAGTAAACCGTTAGACGTAGATATTCTAGCAAAGTGAAACCCTTATCTCATAATCGAATAACAGCTTTTCTCGACTCAATCATACTAGGATTGTAAACTCGTAACGAAAATTGTAATATGTTAGTAGTATTTTGTATTTAAATCATGATTTAACCACATTACAATCATTTTATAACGATAAATTGCTATACCAAATTGGACTCCAACAAACAATTTTTTCGATCAAACTATAGGATAGGCTTTATCTAACATTCAATCCTAAAAACAAAAACTTGCTCACTCCCGAGAGTGTATCAAATATCACAAAAGCCCAACATCACGGCCCAAATCCATTCTTCACAGCCCAAAACAAAAAGCATTTCACAGGAGTGGAGGTTGGTTGAGTTCCCGCCAAAAAACGTGACGACCGGTGGTTTTGGTGTGTCACTCTCTCCCGACCCCAAAACTACAACAACAAAAAAGCAGGCTCCTTTTGTCCTTTTCACGATTTAGTGCCTCTCACGCCTTTCCCGGATGCCACGCGTATCCTTGGTGCCACCGCCCCCCAGCCACGTGTCCCTCTACTTCCCCTTCACAGTAACCTCCTCCTTTCCTTTCCCTTCCCGTTTCTCCGCCTGTCCACCAAATTTTTACAGTTTCCATTTTTTTACCAGGGTGCAGCCATGAACGTTCCAGTAGGGTTTCTCTCCAAGTTATGGAGCTTCCTCTCCTTCTTGCCTTTCTTCTTCCTGCTCTTCATCCTCGGCCTCGCCAAAGGTACAGTCAGTCGTTTTTATGCTAATTCTGAAATGGGTATTTCACAACTGAAAGGTTTTTCCTTTCTGTTCTGGGTTTTCTTCTCAGGTTTTACAAAAGTTCTTTCCTTTTTCTATGAACAGCTGCAGTGATCGGTCCCATTTCGGCGGCGATCATACTAATTGGGAACACTGCTGTGATATTGGGACTCTGGATTGCTCATTTCCTATGGACTTACTATTGTCTAGCAAGGTACTCTGTTTTTTTCGGGGTTTTGTTAGGCAACTTCGGAGAGTAGGGTTCTTTGCAATTTTTCTTTAGAATGAACTTTGCGATGTTGAATTTTTTTGTAGGACGAAGAGGCTTGGCTTGGTTTTGAAGATTGTGGCGATGCTGCTTTTACCAGTGCCGTTGGTGCTGTGGCCTCCAGTTGGTATTGTTGGGAGCCTCCTGGGTGGGATAGGGTACGGGTTTTTCGCGCCTTTGCTCGCTACTTTCGAAGCCGTTGGGGAGAATGTCAAGCAGAAGTGCCACCATTGTTTCGTTGTGAGTTGTTTTCTCACTCTGACTTCATCGATGAACAGAGAGTTTCGTGGATTTGTGGTAGCTCTGACGTTGCTCTGCATAAAAATGCCTGTAAAAAAAAAACGCAGGACGGTTGTGCCTCGACGGTCAGATACAGCTGCACTGTCGTTAGGGATTTTACGGACTTTTGCTTCCATTCCTACTTCTCTTATATGGATGAACTGAGCGAGAAAGTGCCTCCCGATGAACAGCCTATCGATGTCAAGTAAGAACCCTTTCATGAACTTGTAATTTTCCGAAAGAAAGAAGGGAGTTGATTTATGGAGAGACGGGATATGTTCTTGCTTTCTATGTCTTATACTAGGTTGATGAGACTGCCGAGTAGTTTCTTGGTCACCCTCATCGGTGTCCCGGTAGATATGCTTCTGATCACTGCTCTCGCCCTGTGGAAAAGCCCCTACATGCTTTTGCAAGGATGGAAGCGGCTGCTGGAAGACCTGATCGGTAGAGAAGGGCCGTTCCTGGAGACTGTGTGTGTTCCATTTGCGGGTCTTGCGATTCTTTTGTGGCCTTTAGCTGTCGTGGCGTCGGTTGTAGCAGCTGTAGTGTCCAGCTTCTTCTTGGGATTGTACAGTGGAGTTGTTGTCCATCAGGTTTGAATCAGAACACCTTTTTGGAAATATCGGCGCGCATGTGTTCGAGTTTTAACTGCTGTGGAACTTTTGATAGGGTTTCGATTTGAAGTTCGTTTGGTGTTTTATCTAAAACCAAGATCCATAATTTCCAGGAAGATTCATTCCAGTCAGGACTTGCCTATATTATTGCAGTGGTTTCATTGTTCGACGAGTATGTCAATGATCTGCTCTACTTGAGCGAAGGTTCCTGTCTACCCAGGTAAAGGTGTATTTGATTGATAAGTTCATTATTTGATCTACTAGAGGGTACAATTAGGTGCCAAATAATTGAATCAAACAGTTTTAACTTTGAGGATTCATGGACAGCCAGGCCCAAGTATCGGAAGAACCAGAGTCCTAAACTAGGTGATAATGAGGGGAGCATGAACAAGAGAAGGCAAAACTCGCTCAACGCAAGACTTGTACCGGAGAGGACAAGATCGCTGAAACGGGCCATTCAGGAATTTAAGCCGGTACAGGTATGGTTGGTTCTATGCAACCTAGATCTTGCTACAAATTCCAGTACAGTTGTTGACTTGATGTATAAGTATGTCGACAGATATGGGACTGGTTATTCAAATCATGTGAAGTGAACGGAAAAATACTCCTCCGCGAAGGGTTGATAGATACCAAGGACATTAAAGAGTGCCTTGTGAAGGGTAATTGCAAGAAGTTAGGGATCAAACTGCCAGCTTGGACCATATTACAGTGCCTTTTAACCTCAGCAAAGCAAGATTCATCTGGGTTGGTGATCTGTATGTGTTTTGTTATAAGCCATCCTTGTCGGTTTAACGTGAATGTGGTAAGTAGTTATTGAGATGATTATACTAATTGCACATATTGCAGCTGATGATGTGGAGTTGACGGCAGCTAACGGGCCAAGGGACAAAGTTTTCGATTGGTTCATAGAACCATTGTTGATCATGAAAGAGCAACTTAGAAAGCTTCAGCTGAATGACAATGAGGAGATGAGCTTGAGGAAGCTGGTAATGGTGAATAAGAATGAGAGACCTGAAGACTGGGACGAAGAAGGGTTTCCGAGTGGCGACCATGTCAGAAGAGCTCAGTTACAAGCCCTAATCAGAAGGTATGTTCTTTACCTCATCAAGGAGAGGGGGCAAAGTTCCATATACCCGTTCACCAGCCCTACTCCACAGGCAAGAACTCTAGTGAGTTTGGATCCTAACATGCTTGGTTCTGTCATTTTACATGCAGACTACAAGGGATTGTAGCTTCGATGTCACGCATTCCAACTTTCAGGCGGCGTTTCAAGAACCTGGTGAAAGTGTTGTCGATCGAAGCAATTCAGGTTGGGCCTCCCGGAAAGCAGATAGGAGTAACGAGCACTGATGGGAGTAGCATTAGCTCAAGTTCGATGGCATCCCACAACCAAGAGGGAAGTAGCGAGAACGAGATGAAGAATGGTCCAGAGACGTGTAGCAATGTACCCAAAACTAAAGACGGGATCAAGAGCATAAGCAGTCAACATTCTGTATGAACCAATGACCACTGCCCAGATCTATTAAGCAATCTTATAGCAGCAGCCTACGGTTCATTTCAGTTCTACGCAGCTATCTTATAGGAGCAGCATTTAGGAGACTCGGTTCTACTTAGCTATGTTATAGCAGCAGCATTTAGGAGATAGGAATGGGGATAGGTGCCTTCCTTTCACACTGTTTCGTAGTGTTTTGGCTGCAGATTCGATTACTTGAAAGTGAATTTTCTGTTTTATCCTAGCTAGTTGTTTCGGGACAGGAAAGCTATGTATAGAAGAAGTAGCACAAGCTCAATATCACATTGCTCTTAGAATGATTGGATTCCTTACAACATCAGCGTTCTGTTAAATGTTACGAATTCAGAAGCCTTGCACAAAAAAGGCAAAACCAAATGGAGCATTACCTTCCAAAACATCTCATTACAGAAGATGTAAGAGTTGAAGAAATGAACTTCATTCCTATAGATCCTCCAGGGAAGTAAGAAATGACGTAGTATGATAGCGCGATAACCTGACAGAAGCGCAGGGGGAGAATGTGTGAGAGCTGTATACGTCCGGCATCCATGGAGGAAGCTTTACAATCAATGGCGCAAAATCAAAGTGGAAGAGGATCGGGTTAAAGGGTACCTGTAGAACTGAGAAGACGACTGAAAGAACGTAACTGTGGAGCACCATGGATACATAGACTGTTCCAACCATTGTGCCGATGAATCCCAAAGTCAAGGGAAGCCTCTGTTGACGAGATAACGAAGCAAAACGTCAGTAAGACTCGTCATTTAGAATTATTTGATTGCTCCATAGGAGAATTAACTAGTGAAAAGTACCTCCTTGGAGAACATATGTAGAAGCTGCTCCTTGGGGCCTCTGAGAGCGAAAAACGAACCAACTATGAAAGCACAGCCGATGGTGAAGCAGATTGCAAATTTCTGGGGAACCAACACCATCACGGGGAGGAACATTGTGAATGCTAGAAAGACGAAGAACACTCCAGAGGCAAGGAGTACGCCAAAGTACATGAAAGACTTCCCAGAAGGGACATTGCTAGTGGATGACTTCAAACTTCCCGGCAGATCCCTCACTCCTTTCGATACCCTGAAAAACAAACACGAGTTAGGACGAATATCAATTGCCGCATACTACTAGTATGCAGCAACAAAATGAAATCCAGAAATCATGGCACCCTATTTCAAGCTGAAAATACTGTGTCTATAATATGCTGAAACCACTTTAACTAACATGAAATCTATCACCTTTTTTCAAGACTGCGCATGAGATAGCAACACCAAGTGTTCTTTAAAACTAGTAGCCCTGTATCCAATTAGCAGCATGAAGAAAGGATGCAGAAATCCTAGTTCTGAACTAGAACCAACCCAGATGGGAATTCATAGTTCAAAATTGAGCCATAAAGTGAGAATTCTGAAAGGGCACTGCAACTAAAATGAAATGGAGTGGTAGCCAAGTTTTCTACAACACTGGGGGTCTAGTACACCGTCAAGAGCAATGAAGTTAGTGACAGGCCCAAATTTCATGGCTTCTATATCACGAGCTGAAGCAAAATAGAACGAACACAAGGAGCATCGAGACGTCACACTCAGATGATCCGGAAAATAGTTCGCTTAAGTGAAAACTTCCTCTAAGCTATCTATCCAAGCATAGGCTAAGAGAGGGTTGAATTTCGATAACGAATCAAAAACGGAGTAGTGGTCAGAGCAAAAAACCTAGAGCAAATGAAAAGAACAATCGCCAGCGAGAGAAAAGGATTCTCACACGCTGAAAGTCCCGGTGACTTTGTCGCTGGTGGATCGGACGGCGGATTCGATATCGAAGCCGATATCGGGATCGGCATCGGCGTCGTCCTGAGCTGCGGCGTAGGCGTTCCAGTCGGCGAGCAAGGACGGCTTCTCCTTATCCAGTCCGTCACCGAAGCTGCTGCCACTGCTGCTGCTCGGACCTCCGCCGAACCATGCTTGCGCCGCTTTTTGCATGTCGTGCGATTCCTTGCTAGCTCTCTCTCTCTCTCTTAGTTCTTCCGATTGTCCTTCTGTCGCCGCAGAGACGGCTCCGATCGGCAACCTCCGGTGGGGTGAAATTCGAGATCTAACGGCGGCACCTTCCACCGTGAAAGTAATGCTAGTGGGCGCTTGAGGAACTTAGGCGCTAAACTAAACCAAGTAATCACAAAGCCCAAAAACTTGCCCGCTAAACTATACGAAGATATCACTAAGCCCAAGCCCACACAGAAAAAAGCCCAAAAACTCTGTTCCAGTTCTCCCGGCTTCTCGATCACCGTCATATTTTCCAAGCGAACACAAGCTTCTCGCCGGCGAGGTGGAAAGGAAGAGAAAAACAAGGATGAAAGTAGCTTCCCAAATAGTTCTCTTGTTCAAGGACAAAGATGGGTTCGCCGAAGCAATTTCAGAAGGTCTCAATCCCAACCCGAGCTTAGGATTCAGAAGACTGTAAGTCCAACGTCAATTGTACAAGAAGGTTTTTTAATTTAGCAAATTCATCAATAATATACTCTCCATCTGTTTCAGCCAAGAAACAAGAGAGCTCCCGATCTGTGAAAGGGCGGGGGTGGCCCCCTTTATCTACACTCCAACGATCAACATTAGTATAGTGATAGAGAAACTTGGAGAACATGTATAGAGAGAGACAACATAGAGAGAGAAGTGATATGCCAAAGTGTCAAGAGGAGAAGAAGAGATCCTTTACTTGGAGTGCTTGGTAGTGTATTTATAGGCCAAGCTTTCCTTCTTCATGTGGGCTTTAGTTGTAGGATCATGAAGATACTTTGTGGGTTTGGGCCCATACATACTTGATGGGTTGTAGTTGTGGTTTGGGCTGGGCCAAGCCATGTTTAATGGCCCAACTTCATCATATGCTGGTCCAATTGGCGCGCCAGATAGGGGTGGACGACAACAATTCGAGCAACTTCATCATATGCTGGTCCAATGTTCGAGGGCCGTCGGGTTTTGCAGGCGCCTACTGTTGTTACAAAGAATCCGCACTCAATATCAAGAGAAGTGTTAGGCACCTACTCATTGAGCATCAACACAAAGTTTTTGAACTTTGCGGAAGACAACTGAACCAGCAAAGTGTCCGTACCTCTAAAATTTTGCTTCCCTTTTTCTTGCTCTTCCAAATTGAGAAGCGCCCAATTGAGTGGGTCATGACGATAAGCGGCCGGAGGCGGGTGCGGTGCCGGAGCTACAACGAGAAAGAGGTGTGGGAAAGAAGGCTCGTTCCCCAAAGAAGGCTCGTTCCCCAAACTATAAATGAGGCGCCCAAGGTCCGATGTTGTGGGAAAGAGGGCGGCGCGCCGGCGGATGATCACACGAACAAATAATCAAAGGGAAGGGCGCTATGCTTATTTATTTTGCATTTTGAAGGGAAGAAAAACATCGAACAAGACAAGGGAGGGTAGAGGAATGCAAGTGTATGACCCGCTATACAGTCCAATTGCCGATTTAGATTTGAACGAGAGACGCTTAAAAAAAAAAAAATGGAAGTGAGAGGCGCTACGACACTAATCAGCATCACCAAGTGTCCAAGTTAGAGGCACAGTAGACAAGGACAAGAAGAAGATTGAAGAGATGAGGCGCCCATTAGAGATGTGAAAATCATTTGTCGTCGATCGAGTTTTATGTAAAGTCGAGCGCCTATACCAATAGAATACGATGATTCTCATTTCACTGAGGCGCCTATACTTGAAAGAGTATCGTCATGAGGGTCGAGAGTTTCTTCAAATCCAGGTGACGTCTGGGTGATCATCCCGTATTTTGGCTTGACACCATGTTGATTCTCATTTCACCGCGGCGCCTATACTTGAAAGAGCATCGTCATGAGCGTCAAGAGTGTCTTCAAGTCCAGCTAACGGCTGGACGCTCATCTCCAATTTCAACTCGATGCTTCCCTGTCTAGTTTATGAGAGGCCGTAAGCGCTTGCATATGTCAAGGATTGGATCATGGCAGCCGGTCGAGGCTCCAAGCGCCCAATTTCACTGGACGTGAGCATCGTCATGAGCTTTAAGAAGCCTAGCTTACTAGCAAAAAGGAAGGTGGTCAGTTATTCATCAGGTCCTCCTTTTATTTTGAAATTTGGGGCGCAAGTTCGAAACCAAGAATAAAGTCCAAGCGCGCAGTTCAGTAACTAAAATGCAAGCGCCTAAAGCAGGGATCAAACCTCCCACCTCCTGTGTGACTAAAGCCACTCTACCACAAGACTACAAGGCGCCTTATATCTCACAAAGTGGTACGCTTTATGCAAATAACAACCGTGGGCCAAGTAGCAAATTAAGGCATCTCATGGAGATCGTTTCGGGGCTTTGCCAGGCGCTGGGCGGTTTCGCCGTGCCGGATCTGTTCCCTTTGGTCAAGTTCCTTCCGGCGTTGACCGAGTTCCGATCCCGCCTCACCAAGTTGTATCGAGGCGCATAATTGCGTCTCGCATCCAAATTGAAAGAAAACGACAGCTGGGCGCCTGAAACTGAAACTAGAGTTAGAAACCAAGTGCTAGCTTAGACAAAAAGCTCCATAATGAAGAGAAGAAGGCCAGGAGATCCCGCCCTTTCACAGATCGGGAGCTCTCTTGTTTCTTGGCTGAAACAATTGGCGCGCCAGGAAGGGGATCTCAGATAACAAACATTGTGTCTTGTCATGAGGCGCCTGCGAAAAATGGAAAATAGATCGTCAACCTGTGATTTTTGGTGAATGGTCTGGTGAGGGAAAGAGTTCGGAAAGTCCAGATCTAACTCAATCCGCCATTTATCTCTTCTCCCCAAACCCTTATCGAAAAGCCAAAATCCACTTTTGTCTTGGTTTTATTGGCGTTCGTTAAATTGAGGAGGCGTCCTCTCGAGTCAACCTCGTCCTCCTCTCGATCAAGACTCAGCTGGCGCCGGTGAGCAGCGTTTCATCCCCACTGCTAAGGAAAAATTCAAGAGAGGAAGAGTCTTAAGATGAAGGCAATACCTGATCGTGAACGAGATGCGCCTCCACAAAATAAAATAGGGGAGAGGGCGCCCAAAGCGAGATAGAGATATCCTGAGGCAAGGGCGTCGAGAATTAGAATGGCGTCAAGAAGGGCGCCCAAAGCGATAAAACCCCAAATTCCTCAAGCGTCGAGTTCGAAAGAGGATGGCGTCAGGGGGCAGATGGAAGTTCTAGCATATTCAGATGGAGGGGGCGCGCAGGCCACCGATCGTCGCATCTCCCGTTACTAGCTCATTGGATTGGGAGCGCCCGAGCCGCACAGAGGAAAGCGTCATAAGGCGGTGGAGTTGCATGTTCATGTGTTTGCAGATGGAGGAAGCGCACAGGCTTCTTGATCACGGCATCCCTTTGATGTCGCATGGAATTAATTGGCAGGCGCCTACCAATCAACAGGAGGAAGAAGAGCCAAAGGAGTTTAACCGGGCCGCTTGATCAACGTCGACCTAAAAATAATAGGCGCTTTGAAGGGAGCTCGAAACGGCAAACGGCGCCCAGTCTCTGCTGTCTTCACAGACGAAAATATTCACAGAAAAAAAAAAACCTTTTGTTTCTCTCTCAAAATTCTGTACGTAGAAGACAGGCGGGGCATTCATTAGCCCACTCAACCACGGAAGTCTAAGCCTGAAAGAAGCCAATCCCAACAAATTGCAACAGCGGGCTGGCGCCGAGCCCACGCTTTATCATGTCCGCAAGGCGGCCCGTCTATTGTCCCAGCGCATCCCACTTATTTCAAAAATAAAGTTGGAGTTCAAAGATTGAACTCATGTTCAATCAAATACAAGACAGGCGCCCACACCATCTGGATACATAATATGTTTGACGTTTGATCGTGCACTTTAATATAGAAAAAAGAAGAAGAATAAAGAGTGAAGGAGGATGCTTGGAGTCTATGTGCATGATTGTTTTGAATTATTGACGCACGCCTCATCACACTCCAGCTAAGTAAGTACTTCTCTAATTTGTTTAATAAATTTTTGTTTTGGCCTTGAAATATTTTTTGCTTGGTTAGAAATACTCTCCGCGCCCAAATATAGCGCCCATGGTTGGAAATATTCTAAGCGCCCAAAATTAGCGCCCTTGGTTGTAAATACTCTATGCGCCTGATCATAGCGCCCACGATTTGAAACTCTCCGCGCCCAAATATAGTGCCCATGGTCGGAAGTACTCTATGCGCCCAAAATTAGCGCCCATGGTTTGAAATACTCTCAGCGCCTGATCATAGCGCCCATGGTTCGAAACTCTCCGCGCCCAAATATAGCGCCCATGGTTGGTAGTATTCTATGCGACCAAAATTAGCGTCCCTGGTTGGAAATGCTCTCCGTGTCCAAATATAGTGTCGGTGGTAACTCCTAGCGTCTGCAAAATTAAAATGCCACAGGCTTGAAATGTTCTCTAGGCTCGAGTCTAGCATCCTTTATACTTGGACATATCTCTTAGGGAGATAAAGCGCTTAGATAACATTTAAAGCACCGGCAATACCTAAAGCGTGCATGGTTCTCAAAGAACCTGACATATTTGAGGCGCCTGGAACATCAAGAGTTCTCTATATAGGGACTTCAAGCGCCAGACGAGGTGAAGCTCTTATGTACGATGTAGCTGTTATGATCAGCATGTGGCTGTTAAGCGCCTATCATGAGAGAAAGTAGCATGATGATGGAAGGTGGCTAATATATCACGCCATGAACATGTACTGGATGCAAGTCTACATGCTGCTAGAGATGTGTTTCGATGCCTGCTTAAAAAGAAAAGGAGAAAGGGTGATGGAATACCACAACAAGACGGAAGAGGCGCCCTCAAGAATGATGGTCGTTTGTGCTGGACGTCCATAAAAGGATGGTGATTCAAGCCTAAGTGTTCGAAGATTCTTGAGGCTCATGGAGTTGAGCGCTCTTGCTAGATGCCTACTGATTTATGTCAAGAAAAATGGAAAGCAAGAATGAGGCGCATGTCATGGAATAAAGAAAGGTATATGGAAAATGAAAATAAAGCGAGGAAGCCCCACATTCTGGCCATGAGAAGTGTTTGGTGTCTCTAAGTGAGGTAGAAACAAGGGCAAGTATTTGGCAGGGGCGAATCTCTCTTTGTGAAGGCCCAGGTTTATGCAGCTCTTCTTCGATTCAATGTGCCCCATGCGCTCAA